GAAATAAAGTTTGCTTGCAAGTTCTAAGTTCTGAATGAGTTGAGTTCCAATCTGTTTTTAAAAACTTGATAAATACTCTGGTTTATTCGTAAAATATTAAAAACTGCTTCCTAACTCTCTCTCAAATTCTTTGGAGGGAAAATAAGTTATTTAATTACTTATTAAACCTAAAATATTTATGGAACATTTGCACTTGCTATTGCACTTGACTATCAACTATTGCTGTCATTCTGCAGCACTGAGTTACTTCAAGAAGTCATACAGTTATTTTATCTGTACTCACCATAAAGGGCAACCTGTCAGCAATTTTTTCTTAATTATTTCATAGTTTTTCTTAGAAGAATCAGGGTCACATACAGTTTTAAACTTTTTTTCCACACAAAACACAGTGATGTTTTTGACTGAATCCAAGGAGGTGGATGTGGTATCAAAGCATTAATGCCCTGATGACTGACACAGAAATGGCAAACCCCAGATCAAGGGCCCATAAGCCTCTCCCTGTAACCCTACCTGTCAACTGATTCATCTCGTTCATCGACATTTGATCTCCATCCCCCCTAGACAACCTGAGCCAAAATCACATCGAGAGCTATCAAACCCACTTTTTCTGTCCGTCGATAAGAGGGCTTGTTCGGTTTACCGCATTCACTGACCCGATTTCAAAGTCTATGCAGTTGGCTCCAGGGCCACAGGATTTTATTCTCCCTCCCTCTCTCCTAAGTCAACCCTCCTGGGGCAGAAAGGCCGACCACTATCGACATTTAAAATGGAATAATGCATACATAATGCTTTGGCACTGGTGTTGCACTGGCAAACCTTGCGTCCCACTACTGTCCATAGGGTAAGATGGATGAGATTTTAAATGGGCTCTCTTTAAATCCCACTCATGGAGGGCCTGAGGCAAAACTGGGCTCCAGGTGCTCACTCAATGAACACAGAGAATGATGCCTCTCTGTGATACCACAAAGCTTGACTTTATTGGTTTGAGCCATTTTTCTCAGCACACATATCAGGACAGTTTAGCCAATTTTCCACATATTTAGTGAACTGCTGAGGCCAAAGGGGAGAATGTAATGCACCAGTTGAGTGTGATTCTGACCTTTAATTTCATTCGATCTGCTGTGGCTCATAGGCAGTGGCAGCTATGCTCTGAATTGCAACACTGGATCAAGAAAACGCCTCTTGCTTTGGCAACATCGACGTGAGCCAATGGAAACGACATTAATATGATATTTTCAACGCTTTCTAAACAAAAACACAATGTTTTTCTTTTTTATCTAAGTAACTATTGTCACACTTGTTTGTCTATCGCGAACAGTGAGAAAAGAATGCTGATTATTGTGCACAAAGCTGTGACTTCGCTGTGGTCTCGAGTTAGCCGGTAAGGAATGCTGCTGATGTGGTTCCAGTGAGGCGAGAAGGAAACCAAGCAAGTTCAGCGAGGTCCCATTGGAGGGAGGATTAACATTACTGAGCTGCCTTCGTGTGTGTTCACAGTCTTGTGTTACGTAATGTTACATGGGTGAAGCTGCAGAACTGGTCACACCGCTTGTATAGCAGGTGTGCTCCACAAACAACTTTGTAACACTGCTGGAGCCTTCAACATTATAACAACTATAACAAACACGTTTTTTAGTCATTATTAGGTTGTACTTGACAGCATTATATTGTTTTGTCCACCTCATGATAGCCTGTGTGAAGGGACCCTCAAAGACTAGCTGTCTCTTCAAGTCTAATGTGAATCCAACTAAATCCAATTCTCTAAACCGCTAGCCTGTTCATGCTCATGGGGGACTGGTCAACGGATATTCCCATTTACGCTGACACTTGCATTGGGACAAAACAAAACAGCAGCACATACACAGACAGACAGACATCCAAACTCAATAAATAAAGGTCACACCCTAAAAAACCTCAGTGGGGTAAAGACGCACATCAGCATGAGTAAGCAACATATGTTTTTTTTGTTTTTCTGACAATCATGTAAAGCCAACCCATAATAACCCATAATATGTACTTGTTTTAAGAGGACGGAATAATAATAAGGACAAAAAAAAACCAACATCAGGAGGCTGTCAACAATTTGACAAAGAGGCAGGTAATGCATACAAATGGAGCTTAAAGAGCTGTTCTCCCAAGGAGGTCACAGACGTTATCAGACTGAGAAGTGACGTGTAGAAAGTACTTAAGATTTCCTTGCATGTAAAAAGGCAGCCTAGGAAACCCTTTAACATCATAAAACTCCACTCCTTCATACACAAAACTTGGTTAACTCAACACAAAAATACAGGACTTTGCATAAGAAGCAATCTGAAGTCTACGGGTGGGTCCGGAGAAGGGTGAGGATGAACTGCAGGGCAAGGTGCTATTCACTAAATGTCTGTGAAATTGACAGGGACAATGTTGACGCTGTTGAGTTTCTGTCAGCTCAGCATGACCTGTATCATCCTAAATGCCTGTTTCCCAGGCTCCAGTGACAGACAAAGCAATCAAAGTCACTTTACTACCTCCCTCTCCTTTAACTGCTCACTTCAGCCGCCACTCCATCTTATTGTCTTTCCTTCTGCCCTGCCACGGGACTACAATTATCATCTGACTTGTAAAGGTTCTGTGGAGAGATCTACAGTGTAGTCTTATTTCTCTGCTTATTCGTAAACCATTTACAGAGTTTTCTAATGAATCAAGTTGTTTTGTAGAGCACTAAAACAATCAAATCAAAATAAAAGAAGAACAGAACAATGAATTTTGACAGCTGAGAATCGTGTAATTGTGCTATGTACCTGTTTTATAACACATTTTACACTATTGGACCATTGGTATGTATGTCCATGATTTCATGCAGCTGTTTCTGAAAACGTTTCATACATGAGGTCACCATAGAGGAGTATGTAATCCAGAGTTCCATGGTTTTCACATTACATCAGCAATATAAGTATGAGCGCGCTGTACTACATGAATGAAATCAATTTATGGTAAGGCGGGCGAGCATTTCATTTTAGAAAATCAGACATGTTCCCTCCTGGTGAGAAAAAGCCAGTGATTTTCTTTTTTTTCTTTCTGCCTCATAGCAGCAGCGGAGGAAAGCCGGCTTTATGATACCACGATTCACTGGCAGCCTAATAAGAGCCACAGCCCTAAGCTGTTTATGTGGCATAAAGGCTGCCTCTATTAGCACTGCTGTCAGAGAGGGGGAGCTGGGCGTTGGGTGTCAGCGCGGCGACAGTTCAGCTCATAACAGTATTCATTCACAAACAGGACTGGAGGTCGTCAGTTAGCAGCGCAGCAAGGGCCCAGAGTGGAGGCAGCGCTGCCGCCACACTCCGGGCCGACTGGGAGAAACAGGATGATATTTAGCAAATGTAATTAAACACAAGGCGCTGGTCACAGAGGGTGCTGATCCCAGGAGGTCTTCTTATCCAGTACTTAATGTCTTAATGCGCGCACACACATGCATGGAATCACACATTCAATTACATACACATACATACTGTACGTAAGTTTGACGGCCATAGACTAATTGAAAGGTCCAATGCTTGGCAAGCGTCAGAGTCTAGTCATGATAAAAAGTCATCAACTCAGTCATAATGTGTCTGCCCTTCATTCCCTCTCACCGCATCACATCCAGTCCTGGCTCCTCTCCAAGCGCAAGTTTGAAAGGTGAATGTACCATATCAGAGACAGAGAGAGAGAGAGA